AAAGTGATTTGGCCCTAGCACAAATTGAATGTATAATTGCGAGAAAATTGTGTTTTGACATTAGTACTACTGGTCTTTCAACACTGATGAAAGGGAGCTGATCTTTTATTTTATGCTAAATTAAAGCTCTGTTATTATGAACACATGGCGGAGTAGCAAGAAATGTTTCCCTTTACTGATGGTGTTGCTCTGTGTTTTATTAGGTAGAATGGATAATTTCTCCAGTGTAGGCATATGAGAGGGACTTCTGTGCATATTTCAAGTTAGTTCCTGCTGAACATTTGGTTTATTTTAAATTTCTTCATGCTTGCGAGTCCTGAGATTTCTCTTTTTAGAAACAACTTGTTTGGTAAACTTTTCTGTGTATTGCCTGGGTACAACTCCTCTGTCATATACATTGGCAATCTGATAYGTTTCGTTACATGGTTTAAGTTAAGTATTTCTGTTGAAATTTAGCAAACTGCGTTCTGATATTTAGTTACATTTTCAAAAGAAAAATTAGAGGAATTCTGCCTCCATATTTGGCTGGGGTTGTTCTGGAAGATGGAAAGGATCTGCTCAGACTTCGAACAGCAGCAAGAAGGGCCCTAGGAACTAGCACRAATACAAGGAGGAAAGTGATCTGGAGCTGTTGTAGCAATGAACCAATTCATTGGGGCTTTAGGCAGCGGAAAAGATGTCAGCTTTCCAAAATACCTTGCTTGGGTTTTCTACATATTACAGCTTCAATAGAATTAGCAAATGATTTTTTACTTGGCTTGCTTTGGAAACAACAGCGTATATTCTTCTACTAATGGCAAGTTCAGCACTGGAGGTTCTACCAGTCTAAAACATACCTTTCCCTTTGGGGTGAYTAATAGCAGATCTGCACTGGCTCAGATCCCCTGATGGTACARTGTGAATCAAATGCAGCCACATGGTTATATTCCTAACCCAGAACAAGCAAACTGCAGTGTAAGCCCTTCTCTGGCTGCAGGAGGGCAAATGACACCTGATTAAGCATAAAGCTAATCCATTGATGGTTTTTGAACGTGTATGGTTTGGCTAAGTTAGTTTAGTTTGGATCAGCATTTTGCTTTGAGTAGCCATGCTGCTTTTGAGGAGCTCTCAAGTTGCATTTGCTTTGCAGTGAACCATGTCCATGGGCAAAAGTTCTGCACTGCTTTTACAACCAGCTGAGTTATCAAGGGATCCAKGAGTTAAAAATAGGTTGGGTTTTTGTTKTTTTTGTTTTAATGGAACTTTCTAGATTTCAATCTTAAGGGCATGATAGACTTTAGGGAAGTAACAGAAGAAAATATTTGTTCACTGAACAAGATTCTTGAATCCTTATTTCCACAGAGCCTCTGTGGATCTGCTAGAAGCAGTAAATAACCTTTTTCAGCAAACATATGTAGGAGGTAGTTCAATGGCAGGTAAAATAAGAACAGTTGTAGCTATATAAAGAACACAATAGACTGAAACTTTTTCTTTGTAAAAGATTTCACATAACATGTAAACCTTAATAGTGAGTACCATATCAATAAGTGTTTTCTGCACACTGCAGGTTTTGATACATTGCTATAGACAGCCCTCATGTGTCCAACCTCAGAAAAATGTTGTAATCCAGAATWAGGGCTATACTTGTAGCTCTTGCTGGTGAAACCAGTATGTTTTCTGTTGTACTACCCAGATTCTGAAAGTAGAGGTGCTTAGGTACTGGTACTGATAATATGAATGCTGAGAATAAGCATTCCAGAGAGTTTTGTAAACAAGGCATTGAAAAATAAAGCAAATGGGAATTGCTATCCATGCTTGCAGAGGTCACAGAACTGAAAGCCACCCACAAACATATGCCTTTTAATTAATATTCATTTCCTTTCTGGTGCTCTGTAACCAAAACCACAAGAGTGCCTTCACAYTTGAAAAAGAGAATTAAGAATAAAAAAGGACCATTTTTAATGGACACATTTTCTTTAAAATGTTGCAAATATGAAAGCAGGAAAATAATTTGAACATCTCCGGACTCAACCGAGGTGTGGCTTGAGCAGGGCTGCGCTTTGTGCTCTGCCTGCAGGCAGCTGAGTAGGTGYAACCCCACTGTGGTGTCCTTGTGGGAATCACTGCAGGGGCTGACACTGCCGGGAAGTGTCTGCTAKCTTCTGCTGAGTCGTAGAGAGAGTGTGTTTGTTTGTTTCCAGAAAAGATTGCTTTGGCGTATATACAGAAGAATATGGAAGTGGACAGGTTGCAGAAGCCAAATGAGATGTCTTGACTCTGCTCTGTAGTCTTGTGTTTCCTCAAACCAATAATTCGCAGGGCTTTTTAGATTGCTAGTGAAGCAGGGGTATGTTTTACACCACTGGAAGTGAGACACCACTTCAGCTATTAAATAGAAATTTAACAAATCTCAATCAGAGATAATRATTTAACATTTTAAAGTKYTCTCCTTTCTCTGAGTGCAGAAAATTGTTGCAGTTTTGTGTTTCCATTGACATTGCAGCAATCTTTCCTCAGCAGTMAAGATGTGTTTCAAACAGAGCATTTTTTTCTTATGAGCTTAGGGCCTTGAAGCCTGCTTGCATTATAACCCAGTCCTTTTCTATATTGCTGGTGCCAGCGTGGAAGAGGAGAGCAGAGAGTAACACGCAGAGGGCCATTGCACYGGGCTTGTGGCTACCAGCTCCTAGATGCCTGTGCTCTCATTTGGGAAGGGTTTACCAGATAGTTTGACACTGGATTGGTGATGCACTTTAGCGTGACTGATTCGTTGGGCTGAAATATGTCACTGATTTGATTAATCCATTTCATTAATCTGATTGAATTYCATCCAGCTGTTAGAGGTGTATGAAAGAAAGGTGTCTGACACACAGGGCAAGAACACTAAGCTCTGCATTAAACTATAAAACAGTCATTAGGACATCTAATGCTGAAATTGAATTGCTCCATAGAAATTTGGTTTTCAAGCACAGTACTAATTAGCTATAAGCTTGATGAATGTCAAGGATTAATTGAAGCTTTTCAGTGGCCTGTGTGGGTTTTAAATATTGTCGTTACTGTCCCAATATTTCCAGTTCTTACACTAATTGCTTTTTAGGGAACACACATAAAATTATCTTTTGGAGTGAGTGATGGTGCAAATGGTTCATCATATTACCAAAAATGGACCTCTTTGCTTCTGGATTTCCCTTTTTTTCCTTGAAAGTATTTTTCTTCCACTTTTATGCATACATTGCAAAGGGAAAGGTAAGATGAGTGATTTTAGACTGAAACTTTATTTTTGGCAGCACTTGTAGGTTTTCTTTCCTAGCTGTGCTCTGGAGGCCAGCATTCTCTTCTTACCTACTTTCATTTTGGCAACAGGAGAATAGCTACAGCTTCATAAAATAATTTTTTGTTTTTTATTAAATAGGATGTCATCCAAATTCCATTATTATTTTGTCCTATTTATCATTCGGTACATTAAATGTTTACAAGATAAAAAAAAGTCTTGTAAAATTATGAATTGAAAGAGAATTCATAATCAAAATCAGCATTTTTTTTCTCAAATATGATCTTAATGTAAAAATAGCTAAATTTTTGGTGAGGGGATTGCAGATCTGTAATGCAGATTGCTCATATGCCTTGTCTCTGAGGAGTGTCTCCACGCTTGACTACATTGTAAAGCTGAATGTCCAACATGCCGTGTTACAGTCTGCAAACGTGTCTGTGACAAACATGTGAGGTGATGTGACATAGGAAGAGCCTGAACACTTGAAGGGAGGCTGCTCTGTGTGTCGAGCAGTTCCAGAACCACCAATTCCCAGGCTGCAGCATGGTGCCWTGCTCTGTTGCTCGCTTCATGTGCAATCATGTATGACAGTCCTCAATGCCTGCTCCTTGGCATGGCACAGGGAGAAGGATGGGGCTGCTTCAGCATGTGTCTGTGAAACAGAGGGGCTGCCTGGGAAGCTGCCCAGGGAGGGAGAATTAAAAGGAGATCTTTTGCATGCTGTATTACTGACTTATCTGTGTAGATGTGATCAATCCACTGTATCTGTGTGAGCTCAGTACTATTGCTCTCCATAGCAGTCAGTTCACTAAGTTTGGATCTCAGCAGGGTGGATTCAGGACCCTTTGTGGAAGCTTAGGTTAATTTTTATCCAGACTTGCTGAAAAATTTGATTTTTTTGGTTGTGGTTTCCTTGGTAGGGGGGATGTTTATTGTTCAGTTAGTTTTTTTTTTTTTTTTGTGAAGAGGTTAGATGATTACTGTGTGATAATGGCATTAGTGATAGCTCAGAAGTTGAGAAAATGCTTGTTCATTATCCATTCTTTCAAAGCTTTAATAATTAATTATGCAGTAACCCTTCCTCTAGTGAGCAATTGATTCAGTATTGTACTTCTTAAAATAAAGTATTTTTGCCTCATTGTCTCATTGCTGATTGCCCAGAGGCATAACACGAATATATCCCAAAGAAAACGGTTATTTGGAATGACAGTGCTGTAAGAAGCTCAATTCCATGTTACTTGTTTCTCTCTCTCTTCCCTAGTTTTGCTGCCCAAGGGTGTAACATTTCACTGTAGCTTATGAAACAAGTAGCAATAAATGTGTATCAATATACTTGAAAAGCCCATTTTTTCTGCAGGTGTGATCTCTTAAATGCTTGGAGAAGATGAGTGTGGTCAAGTTGGAAAACTTTTTGTGTATGAATATGATGGCATTGAAAGGGTGTGATGTAGAACCTCAGAGCAATCACATACTCAATAAAATAGGTCTGGGGATATATTTCAGACAGTGAAAGTCCGGTAGATCATGGTCATTCTGTTTCATTTCTGTCTCTCCTAAGGGACAGCAGAGTACCCAACTTTTGTGCCAGTTTAAAACACTGAACCCACTGAAATCAGTTGGAAATTAGGCAGGTGTTAAAAACAGGCAAATGATTTTTATTGAACGAAATGAATGCYGAAGGAAGTCCATAAAATGCCTCTCTCAAAAGTACATCTGACTCTTTCTTTACCTCTCTTTTGTCTTTATGCAGTGCCGGTCCTAAAGGAGATAACATTTATGAATGGAGATCTACTATACTTGGACCTCCAGGTTCTGTATATGAAGGAGGTGTTTTTTTCCTGGATATCACATTTTCATCTGACTATCCATTCAAGCCACCAAAGGTAAGGGTAAGGTTTTTATTGTGCTTGTCATTTATTCACACGATAACAGCCGAGTCCTCATCAGTTTCTGAATATCAAATCTACTCATGGTCTCTTGAAAACTACAAGGTCCAAAATCTTGGCTTGCAGTCTCAGAAAAATCCTACCTAATTCACTCCTTGATTACCACGGTCAATACTGATTTCCAAACTGCCAAGTGATAAATGAGATGATAATTCTGATGAAGAGGTAAGATTCAAGAAATTTTAGTTCTAGTAGAAGACAACACAAGACTTTCTTATGTTTCCTTCTTCTCATTCTAGCTACTAAAATATATGCATAATAGTCTTTTCTGTTATAAGCCAGATTCTCTATTAAATATTATCATGTCATTTCTAACAAAATAATAAAAAGCTAAAATAAGGTCACATACAAAWCTGGAGTGTTACATTTTGACTTCAAATTGGGTAAATCAGTGTGATGATTTCCATTRTTTTAAAATGTCTATTTACTACTGCTAAGATCAGCAACCTTGTTTGATGATGTTTTTAAGCAAAAGTTCTTTTTATTAAATTAAACTAATCTTAACTTATACTAGAATGTTAACTCCTTGCTCAGAAGTAGTATGGACATCTAATGAATTATAAATTACTAATGGATATTAAAGAATTTAAAGGTTATTCCCTTTTCCTCTCTCTTACTGCCAAATRACAACTCTTGACCAAATCACCAGAAAAGACACTGCAAAACTCCCCCAACTAAATACATTCTGCCACACAACATTCTACAACTTACAGCTTTGGGGGCTATAACTTTGTTACCGTAAATGTAATACCTTTTTTAATTCCCAGAATGATTACAACATAAAGAATACACAGTCTGTATTTCACATTTCTCTGAAACCCACAGCATTTAATAWGTTCTGAGTTAAGAATGTTATACTGAAGTGATGCACAGTTTTAGACAAATTCCTCATTCAAATCTTGTAGATTTCTTTTTAGAGCATGATAATTTTTGAATTTTCAGGATACACTGTAGATCCACCGCTCCCCCACATCAGTAGAAAAAGAAAACTTTCTGTATATTCTTGTACTTTATGTGATTAAAGCACTTAATATTCTTYGCTTCTTATTCGTGCAGAGCAATGCTCACATGCTCTATCACTATTAGTCTGAAGTAATTTAAAAATAAGGATAGATTTAGTTAGTGTGATAGCATTGTTTTGGCTGTACATTGTATTCTGCCTAATGAAGGGTAAGGACAAAGATTTCACTGTTAATTTAACAGGACTAATTTTCATAGTCTGTATTTAGGCTTTTGAAAGAAATAAAGATTGTCTAATATTGCATATACAGACAAGTTCTGCCTATTTCTTCACCTTCAGAAACTAAAGTAAAGTTATATGTGTGATTAGAATGCTGCTGATATGCAGTATTTTCATTAAATAGGTACAGTACTATAAAATAGGTCYTACTTTTTGTGGGTACCATACAGAGGGCCTGTATGAAAGCAGTTTATGCACCTAATCTCTCCACGATAGGTTTCTTAAAGGCAAGCCATGGCTACTGAAAATAGTCATTCCTCTGTTAAAGAGTTGTGGTTTAGAAGCAYAGTAGAGAGGTGCTGCTCCCGCAGAAGCTCTGCAGAACTTAAAGAGTCCCTCAGGCTGCTCAGAGCTCAGGGGCACCATCCCTGGGCAGTGTGGAATGACTCTCTGTGTCTCTTGTGCTATGATTCCAGGTTACTTTCCGTACCAGAATTTATCACTGCAACATCAACAGTCAGGGAGTCATCTGTCTGGATATCCTGAAAGACAATTGGAGCCCTGCTTTGACTATTTCAAAGGTTCTGCTGTCTATTTGTTCTCTTCTGACAGACTGCAACCCAGGTAAGGAGCTGATAGTTCACTGAGCAGGTCTTAGTCATTTGACTTAGTTGCCAGGGAATGTAATTTCTATACTTGATTGCATGTCGATTAAAAAAAATTTAATATTTTTTTAATTGGGGATGACAGACTCCAGGTTGGATATGGTCCCTGATTTAATGGCATTTTTCACTCCTGTGACATAACAGAAAATAAATAGCACTAAGTCCTTTTTTTTCCAAGATATGATGGAGAAAATAAGCTGATGTCATTGAAAGTCTGTATTGCAGGAGCWCCATCAAGTGAGTGTTCAATCCGGGAAAGGAGCAACATTCTCTTGACTTATAAATCCTGCATGGCAGAAGGGGCAGCAGGAAGTCTCTTCTCTTAAGATGGCAGCTGAAAGGCTTAATCGTGCAAATGGGAGGGAGGTGATGTTCAGAGAGAATTCTCCCTTTTTCAGAGAGACTTCCTTGTCCTGTGGGGAGGGGAGGAACTCTGCTGATTCTCAACAATTGTGTGAYCCATGTCATTAGGCAATGAATGCTAATTGCCCGCAGTCAGGGCAGGCACTGAGCAATAGTGGAAGGTTCCTTTACAGAAAGTGGTCACAGTTAGGGAGAAATGGATTGGCCTCTTTGATGACTTTGGAAGCAAAGTGGCTGCCCTTGGTGTGTTCCTGCTGCCCTAATACTGGCTCACACTAGTCCTGGGCAGCTCCCTGACATGAGAGAGCACTCACTGAATGTCCCCTGCACCCAAAGGGGTGAAAGCAGAGCACCTGGCTGAGGCAAGATTCCTTCATATGAAGATAACCACAAAAATAGATTTTTTTTCTGTTTTCTTTTTCTGTTCACTGAGTTTTGTTCATTGTGCTTTCTCAGAAATGTCTTATATTTTAAGAGCACCACTRTATCTCACAGCATTTTCTGGTCTAACAAAGATTATATTTTGAAATGGATACTGTGTTTTAAAATGTTTTGTTTGGAATTTTTTGTTACTTGTGGGATGGTTTCTGATGCATTTTCTCTGGCCTTTTGCAGCTGACCCTCTGGTTGGAAGCATAGCCACTCAGTACCTGACCAACAGAGCAGAACATGACAGGATAGCCAGACAGTGGACCAAGAGATATGCAACATAAATAACAAACTACTTGTGCAGTGTGAAGGTGCAGAAGGCAACTTTGCAGTGTGCAACAAATCTTTATAGCCTTTACAATACGGACTTCTGTGTATATGTTATACTGATTCTACTCTGCTTTTATCCTTTTGAAGACTGGGATACTGCCCCCCAAAAAGGTAAATGCTACCAAGAGTAGAGGTTTGTAGCTGTAGATTAGTTATGTTTAAAATGCCTACTTGCAAGTCTTGCTTCTTTGGGATATCAAAATGTATTTTGTGATGTACTAAGGATACTGTTCCTGAAGTCAACCAAATATTATAGTGCATTTTAGCCTAATTCATTATCTGTATGAAGTTATTAAAGGTAGCTGTAGATTACTAGGAATTATGTCATTTGTATTRAACCCAGATCTATTTCCAATATGTGGTACATGCTGTTGTGAAAACTGTTTTAACTTTTACCTTTGTCAGTTTGTAATGAAAGGATTTCCTTTTTCCCTTTGTAGCTCAGAGAGCACCCAGTGTATCATCTCAAACACAATAAACATGTTCCCTAAGGAGTAGTTTCTTTGTTTTCCTATTTTAAATTAATATTTTAATAAATTTAATTATAGTAACAAGGCGAGGCCAATGTATCACAGATCCCTGTGGATAATTTTTAAATTAATATACATAAGCAAAGGCTTGCTATTAAATGTTTAATGCGCACCTGTGGATTGTTTAGGTTTTCCCTGTTTTGTTTTTGACAGAACAAGTGAAATTCCTACAATTATTTGAAATTTAATACTTTTCAGCTCTTTCTCAAGTTAAAATGATCACATTTCATATGCTTACTCCAGAAGTTAATGTAGCTGGTTGCTTCAGGGCCAGTCCTACTCTCAGAACAGACTGCCTTAGTCTTGCTACAAAGATTTTTGCAGGTGGAGGCCCAAGTTACAGATAGTTTAGTGCTTTTGTTTCTGAGTAAAGCCAGTTGGACTTGCTGACCTAGAGAATTAAGTTATCCCTTGAAAAAGGTCTTCCAAAGTATGACAAAAACACTGTATCATCTGCCCAAAAAAGAGAGGAGAACAATAAATTTAATCAGATTTATATGACTTTAAAACAGTTGTGGAGGAAATTACCTTTTGTTAGTAAAAATTAAATCTGTAAAAGTGTTTTAGGCTATCTTTTTTCCCCTTCACTTTCTGGCTTGGAAATTTTRTAACATCTGTAAGTACAAGAATACAGCTTTATAGTACATACAGTTTAAAAAGTAGAGTCACCAATAGTTTTATAATTTAAGCTTTGTCAGTCACAATATTGATTATAAAAACAAAAAAAAAAAGAGACTTGGTTCCTTGAAATGGTTTTTAAAATTACACTTAATTTTAAACTTTACAGTCTCCCTTATTACCTGGTGATTTTGGAGGTAGTGTAGCACTTCCATCAATGAGATGCTCTGCTCATTTAATATATGAAAACTGAATGTTGATTTAAATATTAAAGTAATATAAAAATGCTAAAGATTTACATCTAAAGTTAACCATTACTATACAGGTCCCTGGTTTTTGTATCTCATAACCTTTGACCATGAATTGTCCACCCTCCTTTAAATATTTCTACAGATGCCTGAAGGTGGCTTGAACAACTGTGTATCCCAAATATCTCAACCTTGAAGCCAGTCTCTCTTGGTAGCTACAAGATAGCTTTAGAGTTCAGGTTAAAAAGTGCAAAAGGGAATGAGAAACAGGATCTGGCAGGTGAATACGCCTAAGTCAGGTAACAGACTAATGCCAKGAGATGAAGTGCTGGAAATCACTGCTGAAGGTGACCAGAATTTCTCATCATGCTGTTGGATGTGTGAGAAATAGCATAGATTGGCAAAGAAACAAGGGGCTATCACGTCCAGGCTGCAYGTCTGAAGTCTGCTCCCTGCTGACCATTAGTGCACTCGGGGGTGACACGGTGCTCATATACCACTCCAGTGACCTTTCAGTGGTGAGCAAACTGTGGATTTCACACATTAACTGTGTTGCCTACAGAATTTACAGATATTTCTATCATAAAATATTATGATATAAAAATACAGGTTTTAATTCTAATTTTAATGTATTTTGGTTTTGTATTGTACCTACAACTTCAGATACCTAGGTGTACAAATGGGATGCCTTGTTAGAGTTGCCCCATCTTGCCTTCCTTGCAATTGGATCCTTTACACTGAATTCCTGTCCTCTTTTTTTTTTTTTTTTTATTGGATCCTTTACACTGAATTCCTGTCCTCTTTTTTYWTTTYYTTTTTTTTTTGTTGGTTTGTCATGATTCAGTTCTTTTTTAATGTAGATTTTTTTTGTGTGTAAATTTTATATTTACTGAAGTAAAGGTTGTTTTTGTGTAAACATTTAAACTTTAAATGAAAAAGAAAAGAAGCTAATTTTGTTTCTCAAGTTCTCTCTATTGAACCATGCAGTAGAAAGAAATTTGTATTGTTAAATAAATCAATTAGTTGTTAAATGAGAATGTGTGTCTATTTCAATATGTCTATTTTCCCTGCTGGAAATATATCCAAAACACCAGTTGCAAAGAGCATCTGGTGTTTCAAACTATTTCCTTCCTGGCTGTGCTGGTGTGAACACTGGCCGCTACCAAAGAATGGCACTGATCCTCCTTTAGAGTTTTATTTTTCTGTTCCATCTTCTTATCACCAATCGCTGTGGTAAAAAGTGAACTGAAATGACATTTTGGTGAGAAGACCAGCTGAAGATTCTGCACATGCCCTCTTCTTTTGGATGGGCTTTTCTTTTTCAACTGTCTTTGAGATTTGAATGGGGAGTACCTGCAGCTGCTGGGAAGCTGCTGGTCTCCATGATGATCTGACTTAAGGAGATCTCATGTAGAAACGACCAGGCCCAGCTGGTGACATTGCTGAGGAACAGAGAGRGGCAAACACCTCTTCAGCTGAGCTGGTGGCTGAATTCAGAGCAAATGAAAAGGGATGAGTAAATATAAGTGTTTTAAAAATAAATATATTGCATACAACGGAGAGGCTGCTAAATATGAGCCTTGTTATTYCTATACTGACATGTTCTTGGAGAGCTGCTTCATGTTCTGTGGTGTCTCAGTGATGTGTGGGATGCCTGATGTGGAGACAGTCTTGCTGATCAGTGTTGACTAATGATCATTCCAAGTCTAGAGCCAGGAAGGGAAGGGAATCATAGCCCAGACCATGGGCCAGGCTGTGCACAGTGAAAGCAGCAGTCTGGTTCATACTCTGCTCCCTCCCTACCTCTTGAGGGAAAAGGAAACTTCCAGGCTTTGTGGTACACCAGTTCCTGCTCTGTACCAGCTTATTTGTGGCCATGGGTATTGCAGAAAGTGAGACCAAGCTTCTCCCTTTCTTCACTAGTGGGCACTGAATATGTGGCCTCTCAGAGGTGTTGTCACCTGCCTGCACCGTGAGAGGAGAGTGGCTTTGCAGTGGAGGGTGCAGCTCTGAGCCTCTGGGCAGCCCCGGCTGCATGGCTTCCCCAGGGCCCTGCTGGGGTCATCACAGTGCTTGGAGGGAAGAAAGCTGCAGACCACAGCAGCTTCTACACAGAGCTCATGGTCTTCTGCCCCTGGGGTTTTGTCTGCATGGGCAGAAGCAGCAAAGGAAGGGCTCCTGACTCGGGGCTGAAGAGTGAATTTCATCTTGGCTGCATTTTCTTCAGCAAAAATTATCAATAGATGCTTATGTGAAAGAAGGAAGGCTCTTGCAGGAATCCTGGACTAACAGTTTCAAAGGAGAGTGATAGTAGTGTGACCAAAGTGAGATTTGACTGAGCCATAAATCAACATTGTATTTTGGCATCCTGTGCTATAGCCAGGGAAACAGATGCATTTGAGAACTTGGCTCTGCTCTGTGTACGGTGTCCCTTTGACTTCTCCTTGGTGGCACCACTTGCATTTGTGTTGCACAGTAGCTTTCAAGGCTGAACCACCACTCCCTTTCCTTCACTAAGCACYCCTGACTGAAAGTGGCTGCAGAGGCTTCCAGGACGACAGGAGGCATTCTGTAGTACAGCACTGGCTCCAAAGGGAGAAGCAGAACAACAGCATGGCTGACCTTGCTGAGGTCACTGAGAGTTGGGCACAGTCAAGTATTCAACGTGTTCAGCTTAGACGGCAGAGCAGATTGTTTACTTGGAAAATAGTAGCTGGAACTGCAGCACACTGGGGCTTTTGCATTTTTAATCCTGAAAAGGGGATCCTGCTTCAGCTTGTCTCTGCCCATCTCCTTGCAGGATGTCTCTGAAGGGCAGCTATGACTGCCTSTGTTGCTGGGTAGAATAGATGGCATCCAACATACTCGCAACAATTTGGGTGATCCTTAGAAATAAAAACTGCCAAGAATGGATGGAAGAGGCACAGTATGAAAAAGATATCTATCTTCTCCTCTCATGAGGACCCCAGGCTCTGCACCTAGAGGGTTCTAAGATGTGGTGGGACCACATGCAGRAATATAAATGTATAGAATCCTCTGTCTTTCACTGCTGTTGCTGCCTCTCTCCCACAGCTAAGGTGTGGATGGCCCTATGTATTTATGTGGTGTTTCCAAGTATTGGGACGGATTTTGTAACTTTGTGGTCCAAGGTAAATATCTCTTTTTAATATCCTAAATTATAACTGTACATATTTTCTGTGTGAAAAAAATACATTTTAGGTAATTATTTCAGGCATCCTGCTATGTGAGCACTTMATTTTATGTCTTCCAGTTTTATACTGGGAAAAATAATGAACAATTGTATCTATTTGCCTCCTTGATCCCATTGATGACTTTGTGTGTCATCACTATCAACTCCTAGTAACCTCTTCTTTTCCAGACTGGAAAGTCCTCATTTATTTATCTCTGATTGTATGGATGATGCTCATGGTTACCCTTGTCTGTACATTTTGTAATTCTGCTCTAGCTAATTTAAAGGAATGAGAGCGCCACACTGTATACAAAAGCTGAACTCACAATTCATCTGGAATGATGTTTTCTGTTTGTCTACTAGCTCAGAATGCTCTGCCTCTTTGACTGTTATTGCATAGCTAATGACTTTATTAAACTCTTCAGAGAGGCTGTGATCTCTTTTCTGAGCAATAGCTAATTTAACCTCTTATGTAGGTCTAATAAGTATGTCTTTCCCAATATCTGCTGCTTTATATTTATCAGCACCAAATTAATCTGTGACCTTATCTCCCACTTCTCAAAAACATGAAATCCTTCATGACTCTTGGCAGTCAGTTTAGTCTGCCTTGAATATTGACTCTGTGAGTGTGCTGTGTGCACCAGGGGTAGGAAGGAGGTAACAGCAAAAGTAATAGCAAAGTGCAGTGGACAGGTCTGTCTGCCAAGAAGTGATGGGTCCCCGAGGACAAATTATCATCTGGCTTCTGAATGGCACAAATGAAAGCAGCTGCCAAGTGTTTCCATCACTCTGGGCTTTGTCTCCCTCTACAGAACAAATGTCAGGTCATTTTTTAAAGAGTAGCTCAGCGTGGGTAGATTTCCGGAGCGCTGAATGAGCTGTCATGCTGGAGATTAGTTTTCTGGGAT